TCTGCAGAGACTCATCACATGTCCTGTCCACATGTATCAAGCTACTTGCATCTGTGCCCATACACTCCCCTTCCCTCCTGTTCCTATGTAAATAGTGTCTCTATTCCTATCTAACCCAGTCCCTCCAGTTATCTACTAGCTCCCCATCCTCTCTCACCTACTTGATGTAATTTCAGCAAGTTTCCTGTCTTGCTCCTGAACGTAAGTTTTTCTCTCTCTACTGTAACATCTTCATTAACTTGCTATTAGAGCGTCCTTCTTATAAGAAAAACAAAAAACAAAAATGCTCTTGATCCCACATATTCCCCCAGCTACCACACCATTGTCTTTGCTTCCCTTTATAGTAAAATTTCTCGAAAGGAATTGTCTATACTTAATGTCTCCAATTCTTCTCTCCTCTCTCTTAAATCCACTCCGATTATTATTTGCTCCGTTACACCATTTGAACAGCTATTCTCAAGGTAACCAAAGACCTCCATGTTGCTAAGCACTGACCAATGCTTCGTCCTTGTCTTTATTTCTCAGTAGTATTGGACATGGTTGATTACTACTTCCTTCTTTTGCTTGGTTTCCAGATCTCACTTAATTGTGGGTCTGCTCCTACCTCGTTGGCCGAAACTTGTTACTTCTCAACCTGCTGAGCATTGGAGGGTTCCAGGGTTCAGACCTTGGTCCTCTTCTCTTTGCCTGCATGCACTTCCTAGGTGATCTCATCTGAGCTCCTGACTTTAAGTACTGCTCATACGTTGACCACGCCCAGATTTCTATCTCCAGCTCCGACTTCTCTCTTGAGCACTAGACTCATATACCTAATTGCCTACTTCACATCTCCACTACGAAGTCTAATGGATATTTCATACTTAATATACCTAAAACCAAGCTCCCATTATTGCCCACGTCCCAAAAAAAAAAAAAAAAAACACAACAACAACAAAACACTGTTCCTTCCATGGCTTCCCTATGTCAAAAAACATTAACATAAGTCTTCCAGTTAGTGTTACCCTTGGCTTCTCTCTCTTACAAAGTGAATCCACTTTCAGTGCTTCATCCATTTGTTGAAATATCTCAATTGGTTTTCTGACAATTTCATGTTTATTGAATGGATGAATGTGGTGAAGTGGCTTGCCCAAAATTCTGACCCAGGATCTTATTTCAAAGCCTGTGTACTTCACTATAGTCTTACAGATGTTCTCTGCTGTGATCTAGAGGTAAAAACTAGATCCAAACTGATGAATGGCATGTGAAGGGAGGAAGATTTCAGTGAAATTTAAAGAACATATTCATAATCAGCTCTGTCAACTGATGGACTCATCAATCTCAGGGAGTATTGCTGCTGATGGTGATGATGATAATAATGATGGTGATGATAATGATGGTGATGAGGTGATGATAGTGGTGATGATGGTAGTGATTATGATTATGGTGATGATGATGATGATGATGGTGTGAATATGAGTTGGGGACTGATTCTGTGTCAATCACCAGAATGAACACTTTATAGCCATCATCACTTAATCTTCACACCAACCCTCTGGCATGTCCATTACTTTTTCTCCATTTTATCTGTCTTGGAAGAAGTACAGCCAGAATGCTCCTTAGAAGCGAGGATGGCGAGATTTCATCTCACATACTTTGGACATGTTATCAGGAGGGACCGGTCCCTGGAGAATATCATGCTTGGTAAAGCAGAGGATCAGCAAAAAAGAGGAAGACCCTCAACAAGATGGATTGACACAGTGGCTGCAACAGTGGGCTCCAACATATCAATGACTGTGAGGATGGCACGGGACTGGGCAGCATTTCGTTCTATTGTACATGGGGTTGCTATGAGTCAGAATTGACTCGACAGCACCTAATAACAACAGCATGAGTTTCTTAGGGATGCCATAGCAAAATATCACAAATTGGGTGACTTATAAGGACAGAAATTAATTCTCTCATAGCTCTGGAGGTGAGAAATTTAAAATCAAAGTGTCAGCAGGGCCATGCTCCCTTTGAAGTCTCTAAGAGAAGAGTCTTCCTTGCTTCTTCTTAGCTTCTAGTGGGTGCCAACATTTATTGGCATTTCTTAGCCTGCAGCTGCACCCCAGCAATCTCTGCCTCCATCTTCACAAGGCCATCTTCCCTCTGTGTCTGTCTCTTCTCTGTCTGTGTTTCTTCTCCTTTTCGTATAAGGACACTAGCCATTGGATTTAGGGCCCACTCCAATCCAGTATAACATCATTTAACTAATTACATCTTAAAAGACCCTATTTCCAATAAGTGACATTCTGAGTTTCTGGGTGGACAAGAATTTTGGGGGGGACACTATTCGACCCAGTACATCAGTGAGTTCAAGTGGCTTACAAACAGTCCCATGAGCTGTAAGCATCAGAGCTCAGACTTGAAGCTGGACCTGTAGCCAACCAAAGTCCGTTAACCAAATGGCATCACTATTATGCCTCATGAGGTAGGAGGAGTCTGTCATTGGAACTATGTAAGCAAAGGATGGAAGCCTCCCAAATAAGGGGGACTGGGACCATAGCTCAGAATTCTCCAAGCCAGAGATTCTACGAGGTGGGGATCCTGCATCCCTAAGATTCATATAATGTGGGTAGCTCATCTCCAGAGACTGTTTCTGGCTCCTTGTGCTTCCCTGTCTTCATCACTCTCCCAAATCACAGATGAGTTCAATGTCACATAGGTATGAACACCACCACTCAGCTGTCAGTTTGTCACACTGTGGTGACTTGCATGTTGCTGTGGTGCTGGCAGCTATGCCCTAGTATTTCAAAAACCAGCAGAGTCACCCAAGGTGGACAGGTTTCAGCGGAGATTCCAGACCAAGGCAGACTGACTAGGAAGGAAGGCGTGGTGATCTACTTCCAATAGCCAAAGAAAACTTTATGTATCACAACAGAACATTGTCCCCTACAGTGTTAGAAGATGAGCCTCCCCACCCCCCAGGTTGGAAGGTACTCAGACATGCCAACAATCATGAAAATGTGCAGGACTAGGCAACGTTTCATTCTGTTTTAAATGGGGTCGCCATGAGTTGGAGGTGACTCAATGGCAACTAACAACAACAAGAAGCTATGAACGGCGAACCAGCCAGTGTCAAAGCCCCTCAACTGTGAGGACCCCCAGCTTCACCCAAACTTCTCCCCAATCACACCTCTGAGTGCTTCTGTTGGACCACCCAGGCAGCCACTGTGCTCCCCCAGCCTCTTATGTGGAACCCATGTTCTTCTTCCTCCTGTACGGCCCCACGGGAGAGGAAGAACGAGGTATCAAGAAGCAATTTCAACAGCATCATGCAATAGAAAAAGCACAGGCTTTGTGGTCTAACAGATCACATTTGAATTTCAGTTCAACCTCATTCTTTGGAAGCTTGGGCAAGTTGCTTGACCCCTAAGATCCTCAGTTTCCTTATTTGTAAAATAGGGACAACAGTACCACAGAAAGTTATAACAAATAAATAATATACTGTATGTCAACCACTGGTACATAGCAGGTGAATAATGGTAGCCTTCTTCATTTTCTACTCATTTTCCTCCACACAGTTATTATTCAAGCTGATTCTTCATCCCAATTCAACTTTTACTCCCATAATGATGAAAAAAGGAATTGACAGATGCTTGAGGAATAATAACCAACACCCTTTGATCTAATCTCTCTTCCACCTTCACTTCTTCAGCCCCACTGGGTTGGTGTGAAGGCTTACCCGTCACTTAGATATGTAAGACTTTCTCAAATACATTTTCCCTTTTGGTTTTCTTTTGCTTTTGTTGCTGCTATGCTGTTAGGTTAGTAAAATCACTATTATGCCCTCATTTCACAGGTGAGAAAAACTGAGAGGAGAGGTACAAGGTCCTACGTTACACACCTGGTACATTGGAGACTCACAGTGCCACAGCATGTGACCCTGATTCCAGTGCTCCTTTCTCTATACCATCTGTTTGGGTTCAGATCTTCCATATGGAACAACCTTGGGGTATAAGTGCATATGGCCAGGTATAAGGAAGGCATAAGGCACAGAGCCCAGGGCAGGGGGCAGGCATGCCATATAACTGAGATAGACAAGGAGATATAAGAGGAATCTGGCTTGGACCAGAAACTTAGTGATGGCACCCCAGGGATCCTGGTCTGTGGAACCAGTCTGGGTGCCAGCCAGACACTTGCCTGTTGTCAAACAGTCACAGATTATGCAGTGCCATCGCAAGCAGAACCCTGATTAAGAACTGCTTGGCATAGTGGAAAGGTCGCCATGCTACAGCTGTCGTGTGGAAGTTCCAATCTGAGCTCAGCCAGCTCACATGGTGAAGAAAGACTAGGAAGAAAGACCTGGCAATCTACTGTCAATGAAAACCTTATGGATCACAACAGAACATTTTGTCCATTATAGTGCTTGAAAATGAGCCCAAATATACCATCGATCATGAAGACTGTGTAGGACTGGGCAACGTTTCATTCTGTCATACATAAGGTCGCCATGAGTTGGTCCCACTCAAAGGCAACTAACAACAACAAATATGTATTTATATGGAACAATCTCTAAGACATTGTGCTCACTGTTGTCCATTTGCCCCTAAACCCAGACCATTCTCTCCCCTTTCTGCCCTGCTCTGTGGCCTGGGAGGCTGACACTCCTGGACTGTGTTAACAAGGATCCTGGCTTTCTGGCTTCCACTTGGGTTTGACCAATAGAGGCACTGGCAGGAGACTGGAGGGCAGGAGGAGAGAGAGGGAGGGTATAGTTTGGGTACTATGGTTCTGACATGGTCCAGTCCCTTTAGAACCTCAGTTCCTGCTTGTCCCCCACCATCCATGCTTCAGCTCCCCCTGGACTCTGCTGTCCTATCTCCTCCCTTTGTCCCTTCAGGCAAGTAGCCTTTTCATTAAAATCTCTTCTGTTGAACTGTCTAGATGGCATTCTGTTTCCTGCTAGGACCCTGACTTTGGTACAGATATATTTTGCGCATTAAATAGGTGAGCTCCAAACAGAGATGGTCCCCACTGACCTCCCAAGAAACTTTCCAATCAGTTTCACCATCAGTGTCCCCACGACTCCACCGAGGGCGAAGATGGACACCGTCACAGACCAGAGCAGCGTCACAGTGTCTGAGTCTACTGGATGGCCACGGCTTCTTTCCCAGGATTCATTGTAAAAGGCCTTGATGTACTGAAAATAAACAAAAAAGCATGTTATTTCCTTCTGTTACATCTTACTGCTTGAAGTAAGCCACTGCATAAAACAAAACAGCTTTTACAGAGCACTTTTTTAATGTGAGGCACTCTGCTAAGTTTTGTTTGAGCTTTATCTCATTGAAGAACAAACTTTTGTGATGGGACCTGTTTTTAACCTTATTTTGCAGATAGGGAAACTGAGGCTCAGAGAGACTAAGTGACTTGCTCTGAAAGTGACAAATCTGGAAGTCAAACTCAAATCTGACTCTAAGCCTGTATGTCTTCGTTATCCAGTGCTGCTATACCAGAAATACCACAAGTGGATGGCTTTAACAAACTGAAATTTATTCTCTCACGGACTAGGAGGCTAGAAGTCTGAATTCAGGGCACCACTCCAGGGGAAGGCTTTCTCTCTGTTGGCTCTAGGGGAAGGTCTTTGCCATCATTGTTTCCCTGGTCTAGGAGCTTCTCAGAGGAGGGACCCTGGGTCCAAAGTATGCACTCTGCTCCTGGATCTTCTTTCTTGATGGTATGAAGTCCTTCTCCTTTCTGCTCAATTCTTTCTTTTATATCTCAGAAGAGATTGACTCAATGTACAACAGAATCCTGTAGATTGAGTCCTGCCTCACTAACATAACTGCCTCTAACTTTGCCTCATTAACATCATACAGGTTAGGATTTACAACACATAGGTTAATCACATCAGATCACAAAATGGTGGACCACCACATAATACTGGGAATCAAGGCCTAGCCAAGTTGACACACATTTGGGGGGGACACAATTCAATCCATGACACTATGATAGCCATTACACCTGGGCTTCTCCAACTTTGGTGCACAACAGAATCACCTGGGAAGTGTGTTAAAGCTGCACATGCATAACATAAGAGAAGAAAGACACAATCATAAAAGAAAAAGGGATCATTTGGATTTCATCAAAATTAAAGTGTTCTGCTCTTCAAAAGATATCGTCAAAGAAAAAAAAAATGAAAAGACAAACCACAGACAGGGACAAAATATTTGCAACACATATCACTACAAAGGAGTTGCATTCAGAACACATAAAGAAGTCCAACAAATCAATAAGAAGACAAACAACCCAATAAAAATGAGCAAAAGACTTAACCAAAAACGAAGAAAATACAAGAGATGAAATGATGCACAACATCATTAGTCAAGAGAGAAATGCAAACTATAACCACAATGAGATATCACTTCACATCCATTAGAATGGCTAAAATTACAAATACACATGCCTAGATCCCCATCACTGTCAATTCTGGTTCGGTGGGTTTGGCACTGGGACTGGATGATTCTGATGTGCAATGTTATGGACTGAATTATGTCCTCCCAAAATATGTGTTGTAAATCCTAACCCCTATACCTGTGGAGCTGAACAGAATATTTCAAAAGTCAGCTCAAGAAGACAAAGTAAAGTATTATAATGAAATGTGCAAAGACATGGAGATAGAAAACCAAAAGGGAAGAACACACTTGGCATTTATCAAGCTAAAAGAACTGAAGAAAAAATTCAAGCCTCGAGTTACAATACTGAAGGATTCTACAGGGAAAATATTAAATGACACAGGAAGCATCAAAAGAAGATGGAAGGAATACACAAGGTCACTATACCAAAAAGAATTGGTTGACATTCAGCCATTTCAGGAGGTAGTATATGATCAGGAACCAATGGTAATGAAGGAAGAAGTCCAAGCTGCACTGAAGGCATTGGTGAAAAACAAGGCTCCAGGAATTGATGGAATACCAACTGAGATGTTTCAACAAACAGATGCAGCACTAGAAGTGCTCACTCGTCAATGCTAAGAAATTTGGAAGACAGCTACCTGGCCAACCGACTGGAAGAGATCGATATTTATGCTTTTTTCCCAAGAAAGGTGATTCAACCAAATGCAGAAATTATCAAACAATATCATTAATATCACACGCAAGTAAAATTTTGCTGAAGATCATTCAAAAGTGCCTGCAGCAGTACATCGACAGAGAACTGTCAGAAATTCAAGCTGAATTCAGAAGAGGATTTGGAACCAGGGATATCATTGCTGATATCAGATAGTTCCTGGCTGAAAGCAGAGAATACCAGAAAGATGTTTACCTGTGTTTCATTGACTATGTAAAGGCATTCGACTATGTGAATCATAACAAATTATGGATAACATTGTGAAGAATGGGAATTCCAGAACATTTAATTGTGCTCATGAGGAACCTGTACACAGATTAAGAGGAAGTCATTCAAACAGAACAAGGGGATACTGTGTGGTTTAAAGTCAGGAAAGGTGTGCGTCAGGGTTGTATCCTTTCACCATACATATTCAATCTGTATGTTGAGCAAATAATCCAAGAAGCTGAACTATATGAAGAACAGGGCATCAGGACTGGAGGAAGACTCATTAACAATCTGTGTTATGCAGATGACACAACCTTGCTTGCTGAAAGTGAAGAGGACTTGAAGCAATTACTGATGAAGATCAAAGACCACAGCCTTCAGTATGGATTACACCTCAACAAAAAGAAAATAAAAATCCTTACAACTAGACCAATAAGCAACTTCATGATAAATGAAGAAAAGACTGAAGTTGTCAAGGATTTCATTTTACTTGGATCCACAATCAACACCCATGGAAGCAGCAGTCAAGAAATCAAAAGATGCATTGCACTGGGCAAATCTGCTGCAAAAGACCTCTTTAAAGTGTTGAAAGTAAAGATGTCACCTTGAAGACTAAGGTGTGCCTGACTCAAACCATAGTTTTCAATTGCCTCATATGCATGTGAAAGCTGGACGATAAATAATGAAGACCCAAGAAGAACTGATGCCTTTGAATTGTGTTGGTGAAGAATATTGAACATACAGTGGACTGCCAAAAAAATGAACGAATCTGTCCTGGAAGAAGTACAACCAGAATGCTCCTTAGAAGCAAGAACGGGGAGACTACATCTCATATACTTTAGATATACTATCAGGAGCGATCAGTCCCTGGAGAAGGACATCATGCTTGGTAACGTAGAGGGTCAGCGAAAAAGAGGAAGACCCTCAAAGAGATGGACTGACGCTGTGGCTGCAGCAGTGGGCTCAAGCATAACAACAAACGTGAGGATGGTGCAGGACTGGGCAGCGTTTTGTTCTGTTGTACATAGTGTAGCTATGAGTCGTAACCGACTCCATGGCACCTAGCAAACATACCTGTGGTTATAATCCCATTTGGGAATGGGTTCTATTTGCTATGTTAATGAGACAGTATTAGTGTAGGGTAGGTCTTGAGTCAATCTCTTTTGACATACAAAAGAGATTAAACAAATGAGCAGAGCGGAGACAGGGGATGAGAGATGCCAAGCCACATGAAGACTGCCCAGGAGTAGAAGTTCAAAGAGACAAGGACCTTCTTCCAGAGCTGACAGAGAAAGAAAGCCTCCCCCTAGTGCCAGCACCCTGAATTGGGACTTCAAGCCTCCTAAACTGTGAGAAAATACATTTCTATTTGTTAAAACCATCCACTTGTGGTATTTTTGTTATCAGCACTAGATAACTACAGGGTCAGCAAAGGAAAGGAAGACTTTCAACAAGGTGGATTGACACAGTGGCTGCGGCAATGGGCTCAAACATAACAATTGTGAGCATGGCGCAGGACCAGGCAGTGTTTCGTTCTGTGATACATGGGGTCGCTATGAGTCGGGAACAGAATCGACAGCACCTAACAACAACAACAACAAGATAACTAAGATGCAGCCTCTCCCTGTGAAGTATTTATCCTTCTCCAAAATTGCTTTCTCCTTCTGGCTCCATAACCTCCTTGCTCGAAGTAAAAGTGAGGCTAGTAAACATTATCAACAGCTAGAGCTATTCCTAATACCAATAAAGTTTCCATGCCTAATACACAAGAGACTCCAGTCTGCCACCATCCACTGATTATTCAACAAATATGTGCGAGGTGCTGGGCCCTGAGATGGACACAGAGATAAACAGAACATAGTCCCTGATCTCAGAGACCTGGTCCACTAGGGCTAATAAGGTGTTATATCATTTATGGATGCTCTTGGCTGCAAGTAATAGAAAGCCCCAACTTAAAATGGCTAAGCAATGAAAATACTTATTAGTTCACATATAAGGACAAATTCATAGGAGTGGTGAGCTTCAAAGGTTGTTGATGTGGTGAATCAGTAACATGGTCAGGATACTTCCTGAAGCTTCACTCTGCCATCCATAAAAAAAAAAAAAAAAAATAGAGTTGTGGTTGAGTTGACTATGACTCATGGTGACCCCATGCGTGTCAGAATAGAACTGTGCTCCACAGAGTTTTCAATAGCTGATTTTTCAGAAGCATATTGCCTTTCTTCTGAGGCCCTCTGGGTGAAAACAAACTTTAAACCTTTCGGTTAGCAGTCAAGCATGTTAACCATTTGCACCACCCAGAGATTCTTTGCCATCCATAGTGCTAACCTAATCCTAAGGCATGCATTCATGATTATAGGATGGCTTCTAGTAGTGATTTTAGCCACATGTTTTCTCATTCATGTATGGCTGGAGAACATAAGCCTGGCCCCTCCAAGATCTCTTGGTGCTAGAAAGAACTTTCCCTGAGATCTCTAGCAAACCTCTCTTATTGGCCATGTTGAGGCAGGGGTGCCTTACTAAACCAATCGCTGGAGAGTAGGATGAGAGTCATCAGCCTGACCTCTGCCCCTGAATTCCATTTCTTCTTCTGCTCCTCCCACCTTAGTAAATAGTACCACCATGCCCAGTTGCACAGCCAAAATCATGAATTCATCCTTAACTCCTGCCCTTGCTCCAGTGCCCTCATCCAAACTACAAGCAGGTCCTGATTCCTGCCTGTTCTTCCTCCAAAATGCCTCTCACCACTTCTGCCACCAGACCTAGTCCAAGCCACCATCTCCTCTCACTTGGGCTACCATGACAGCTGACTCTCTTAGCCCCTCACCAAGGTACTATGGCCAGCCTCTCTGAATGGGTGTCATGCTC